CGTGGTAGCGCGAGCCCGCCGGTGCCGTGTTCAGCGTCGAGGCGCCAGGGCGCGCGGCGGCGTCGCCCCAGAGATAGATGGGGATATTCGGGAACGCCGCCGTGGCGACGAGCTCGCCGGGTTCGCCCACGGGGAGTTCCTTCCCGGGTCCGTCGGGCAGCTGGGCGTCGTAGATGGCAATCGGGACGCCGAGGGAGGGGCCCTGTGTTCCGCCTCGGTAGACTGGCGTCAGGGGGTTCATGAGGCCGAAACAGCCCGCAATGTCTGTGCCGCCAGAAATGTTGGCCAGATGCACGTTTTGCGGGAACCCCTCGTCGTAGAACCAGTCGAATAGCTGATCTGACAAGACCATGCCCGTCGTAGAGACCATGCGGAGCGACGACAGGTCGGCAACGTCCTTTGGGCGGATGCCAGCCTTGGCCATCTCGAAGAGCCAGCGCGGGCTCGTCCCGAGCTTGGTGATCTTCTGCTCGGCCATGATGCGGATAAAGGTTGTGAGGTCGGGCTGGAAGGGGGATCCGTCGTAGAGAATGGCGCGGGCTCCGAACAGGAGCTGCGCCACGTTGGCGAGGTACATGATCCAGCCGGTCGTGGTGTACTGCAGACCTACGGAGTCGGGTTTCACGTCCTCGTGCAGGCGGGATTCCTTGGCAACGCTGAGCAGCAGCGTTCCGACGGCGTGTACGATGGCTTTGGGCGTGCCCGTTGTCCCAGAGGAGTAATAAATGAGAAAGGGGTCCTGGAAGCCGACGTGCACGAAAGGGGGTGGTGTGGCCGACGCCGACTCGAGGAAATGGTCGAGCGTTTCGGCCTTGGGGATGGAGGAAATAGCAAGGGGTTTCTCAAAGCGGCGGATGGAGACGATGCCCTCGAATCGATCGCACTCCTTCATGCCCTGGGCGACACCGGCCATCTTGTCGCGGAGATCGACCGTCTTGCCATTGTAGAGGGCGGCATCGTCGAAGAAGATGAACTTGGGGTTCACCTGGACCGTCCTCTGCAAAATACCGCTGATGCCCATGTCCGTGGACGAGCTGCTGAACACGGCACCGAGCCATGTCGTTGCTGTCAGGACGAGGAGCGTCTCGAACGAATTGGCGCCAACGAGGACGACGCGATCTCCCTTGGTCACGCCCCGCGCCTTCATGGCCGAGGCCAGCCGCCCGGCCTCTCTTCTGAGCTCGGCCCAGGTCACGTCTCGAACGGCGCTGTTGCCCTCGCGCACCTCGGTCAGCGCAATCTTGTCATCCTCCTTGTCCTTGGTGCCGCGGTGATCCTTGGGGTCTGCAGATGTGCGCGTGTGAAGCAGGTTCTCGGCAAAGTTGAGATAGACGCCGGGGAACCAGACGGGGACGGCATCGATCGGGGCCGCTTCGTCGACGATGCTCGTGGGAGCGCCAGAATGAATGATATTGGCAAAGGTAAAGACATGGGCATAGAAGGTGGCACGGTTGGCACACGACCAGGCGTACATGTCTTGAAAGGTCTATTCATGGTCAGCTCAACAGCGAGAGAACGAGTGAGGGAATGGATCTCACTTGGAGGTGTAGAGAGTGCGTCTGGTTGACTTGTTGTATGAACTTGTACATCTGGGTGCTCTTGGGATCAGGGTGCTCCCAGAGCTTGCGCAAGGCAGTATCGGAGCCCATGGTGATGGAGGATGCGGTGATACAGCGTCTATCAATAGCCAGCTAGCAGGTGGTCTGGGACCAATTTTAATCCTTCTGGAGAGAGCACGGAAAACTCGTTGGAGGCCTGGTCTAGTTGCGTACACATCGACGGGAATTGAAGCTGAACGGAATGCCTTTGTATGAGCTGGCGAGCCGAGGTAGAGGCGACGATCAGCTAAGGAAGCAGGACCAACCAAGGTGCGGGGTGCCGTGCTCGGCGCTCACCTGCAGCTCGTAGCTCCTTCTCCAGGCTGAGCGAGAGCTTTGTCCATGTGGAGGGACGCGGGGAAGCTGTACATGTACTGCGAATGCCGATCTGGGGACATCACTAATCATCTTTTCTTTCACCATGAATGGTAACAGCGATCTTTTTCAATTTACACCACGCTCATCCGACCAGCATTTCGCAAGTCTCCGCATCGTACACCACACGCAGCGGTTGTACATCATGCAGCAAACGTGCCGCCCTTGATGCCGTGCCTCCAACCCATGTAGCCCACCGTCCCAACAACGCTGCCCAGCCCAGCAACACCAACAAGGCCCCTCCACCCGAGATTGGCCATCTGCTTGCGGAAGCCCACACCTGCAATGCCCAACGCCGCGAGACTCGTGCCGTAGGTCCAGTCATCGACCTCCGTCTGGAACGGGTTGGCCCTGAGCCTCCAGCTGCGGTCGAGCCACTCGACCTCGTCCCTCCCCCACATGTGCGCTATCGTGACGAGCGCTGTGATGCCCACCGTCGCGACCGTCGCAGACCCCACCGTGCCGAGCAGCCGGGCGGCTCGCAGCGGGTGTGCAGACGGGTTCGCCGAGGGAACGGCCGTCTTGGCGAGGGTCGTGGAAGCTCGGATCGTCGCGGCATCAGTGGGCGCGTAGGCGAGGAAGGGGACGCGGGAACCGGCGGCTGAGCGCAGGGCAAAGGTGCCGAGGCCGAGGATGGAACCCATGGTGGCGGCGCGCGTGAGGACGTGGGTCCAGAGAATGGTGCGGGCGAGCGGCTGGTCCTCCGCGAATGCCGTGTGCGGGAAGAAGCGGGACATGGTTGTTGTAGAGAGAGAGAGAGATCCAGTGGCCAGCGAGTGCAGACGAGCTGCGGTGCCTCGAGTCGGAAGAGGTGGGCGATGTCGAGTCAAAAGCGCTTCTGTACAAAGGCGTCCTGATGAGGTTTCCTGAGAAGAACGTGAAACAAGACAGTAAGGAGTAGTGGTATGAGTCTGGAGCTTGTTGACGGCAGGAGGAAACTTTGTCGGGAACTACGCGCTGTTTCACAGTGCCACATGCTCTTCTTTTATCAGGCCAAGTTGACATTCGGTGTATGGGCGTCATCGATGCCAACGTCAGCCCCAGCTGAAGATGGGCAGCCCATGCGGCACGAGTTGGCCGAAGGATGCCTCTGAAGAATGAGTAGGCATGCTGTGCATTATCAATCGCAGTGAACCCAGAAGCCAGGACGGGCGAACTGGCCAGCCGGCTCGCACCTACCTACTGGTGCGAATGCGAGTCCGAGTGCAGGTGCCAGTGAGCTACGTGTAGCTGTAAGGTGCCGCCGCTCTGGCTCTTTCTGAACTGGAAGGAGCGACGAATGAAAGGCTCGTTAATGGTCAGAGCGCATCGCATGGCTTGGCCCTGCTCTTGCCTGCCACACGCCATTGAATTGGAGGTACCGTAGGTAGGCAGGCAGGTGCAGGCTGGCAGACCGGGCAAGAGGTACGGTGTGCTCCAAAAGGCAGGAAACAAGCAGTAACTTATGCATTGCTCTGCTGACTCATGCACCCGGACGGCGCATCATGTTGTACAGACCCCATGCTCCCCCCTAAACACCACCACCCCCTTCCCCTCCCCCTCAACTGGAACATCACGACCCCCGGCACCCATCCCCAATCACCCCATCGCGTGTTGCCTCGCGTGTTGCCTCGCGTCCGACACACACTCGGCCGGACCGTGAATTCGCCTAATGACCACACCCTCGAACCCGCCGCCCAATCCACGCGACCAGATGTTTATCGGCCCGTCGCGGGCGTCAAGAGCGCGCCCAGAGTCTTCTGCCATGCTTTCGACTTTGCGGAACTCTTCTTCCGCTCGAAGCGCCGTTCCCGCTTCACATGCTTTCCTTTTTTCCTTTTTCAAAACCGCTCGTCTACACCGTTGTTCATGAACTTGCATTTGCAAATGTTCGAGTCAAGAAGTCAGGCACCCCTTCACATCAGGTTGATGCATGGGATAGACAACCTCGCCGGCGAAGCGCCGAAGCCTAGGTCGGCATTGCTGCCCCTTCTGGCCAAGTGTCGGCTGTCGAGAATGCTTCATGTGAACCCCGCGCCCGCGGGACCTGGGGAAGAGCACTGATAGTCAGGCACGCGAATAAGCTTCTACCCCGATCGCCTCTGCAAGCCTTGAGCAGCCACCAGTGCCGGCATAGACGCCGGCCTGGATCGGATCGGATCTGTCTGCTCTGTCTGCCCACGGCATGGCTGTGTCCCCGTAAGGCGCGTCTCCAAGGTGCAAAACCGATCAACATTGCGAAGTGACGACCACTGCGTCCCGAGTCGAATTTTCAGTTAACCGTGTTCGTGGACATGGGCCCGTCCGCTCACCGTCTGATCGTACCATACACCGCACACCTGCGACTCAAGATCGATCAGCAGAACGCCCTGGATCCTGGAGTCCCCACGATCTGGCAGCCAGCCTAGCTCCGATCAGGACGCACTCCCGTTTTGCCGCCCGGGGTGTCGACCTTCTCTTCGCGCCTTAGTCACGCGACCATTGGCCCGTCACTTTACTGAACAGACGCGATCCTACCTTGCCCATCATGAGATGCCAGGTCCCGCGGCTTTACTGACAGCCCCTGACATCAATCTGCTGGCGCCAAGCTTGGTGATAGGGTCGCATCCTGGAGAAGGGCCTTTTCTGCCCCTCCGTCTAGATGACCAGTGTCAACTTTTCGGCGGGCCGATGGGTCTCGCGGCGTGATCTCGACTTTCCTACCCCCTTGTCGTCCGGCGCATATTCTCTCAGAGTGTCGTGGGCGGGCTCCTCGGCCTCGGGCTAGAGTCATGCCTTCACAGGAGAGGAGCGTTCGGCATCATGAAGTTGACTGAGTGCCGACAAGGAGGGCCGTGATCGAGAACTATAAGTACGATCCGGAGTCGTGCTTCATTGCGACTTGATGTTGAGCCCTCAGCAGACAGCCCAGCAAACCAGCCCTCTCGTCCTCGCATCCAGCACGCCTCCTCTTGCTGCGACTCTGTGTGTAGAAAGGCACCTTCGTCACTACCGCCATGTAAGTTTGTGCTTCCAACAGCACACGGCAGCCACAGCTAACCGACCAGCATGGTTTTCGCCCACTTGCTCGCCGCCGCTCTGGCTCTCCCCGCCGTTCGCGCAGCCGTCCCCTCGATTCCCGGATTCTCTCTCACCTGGTCCGACGACTTTGTCGGCACGGCCAACAGCCTGCCCAACCCCTCCAACTGGATCATCGACACAGGCACCGGGTACCCAGGCGGTCCTCCCCAGTGGGGAACCTGGGAGATCCAGTCCTACACCAGCAGCCCCGCCAACCTCAAGCTCAACGGTAACGGCGCTCTTCAGATCACGGCTCTGAAGAACAGTGCTGGGCAGTGGACGTCGGCACGCATCGAGTCACAGCGTTCCGACTTCGTTGCGCGCCCTGGTGGTCGTATGCGCATCCAGGCAAGCCTGAACCTACCCGTCGTCGGGTCGAACGGCATTGGCTATTGGCCTGCCTTCTGGACCCTCGGCCGCGCCTACCGTGGCAACTACCAGTACGTTTTTTTCATCCTGCTCTTTGCGCCGCCACCTTTCATCCTGTGCCATGAGCTGACAGCAGACAGAAACTGGCCGTCCGTTGGCGAGTTTGATATTATGGAGAACGTGAACGGTATTGACCGCGTCTGGGGCGTGATGCATTGCGGCACCAACCCCGGCGGCCCCTGCCGTGAGACCGACGGCCTCGTCGGCAGCCGGCAGTGCCCCAACAGCCCCTGCCAGGGCAACTACCACACCTACACCCTCGAGGTTGACCGTACGCAGGCCCTCGAGGCTGTGCGGTGGTTCGTTGATGGCATTCTCTTCTGGCAGATCGTCTCGACCGACCTGCCGGCCGATGTGTGGGCGCAGAGCGTGCACAACCCGCACTTTATCCTGCTGAACCTGGCCATCGGCGGAGCCTTCCCTAACAACAACTTCGGCAGCCAGACGCCGCTTGCGAACACCATCTCTGGGGGCACGCTGCAGGCAGAGTACATTGCTGTCTACAATAGCTAGATCGTGGGATGTCTTCATCAGAACAGGGAAGGGGAGCGCCAATGCCTGGGACGGTCACTACATGCGCGGGCTTTTCGTTGTACATTCTGGACCTTTTTTGACCGTACATTCTTCTCCGTACAATTTATGATCATGAGCTGGTCTGTATTCACAACTGTCCACCTGTTCGCGCCTTGGTCAAACGTCGTGATCATGACTTCGGCCCGAGGTATGCGACATAAGGTACTGATAGGTTTGTGCCGTGACTGCAGCCCCTTCCTCGAGGAAATGGCTATAGCCTCCCGATTTCCAGATTGCCAGCCTAAGGCTTGTTTAGAGTATGCCGCAAAACATGTGTCATCGGAGTTTTCTACCCC